CTTGAAACTTATCGTTTGAAGCTATGCGGTGGAGGGCTACGCGCGTCTACCGGAGGATACATAATTGAGGCGTGTATGGGTAAGAACTATCGGTGGCGCGTTCGTGAAGGCTACGCTCTAAGGCCTGGAAAACAATGAGGTGTATTAAACTATGTGAAGCTTATACTTCTACGAAACAATGGTGTATTAAACTATGTGAGCTACGCGTCTACGCGGAAACCAATGATGTATTAAAAACTATGTGAAGCTACGCTCTACCGGGAAAGCAATGATGTATTAAACTATGTGAAGCTATAGTTCTACCGGAAAACAATGATGTATTATTAAAGACTATGTGAAGCTGAGCTCTTACCGGAAACAATGATGTATTAAACTATGTGAAGCTACGCCTGCTACCGGAAACAATGACTGGTATTAAACTATGTGAAGCTATAGTCTACCGGAACCAATGATGTAATATAAACTATGGTGAAGCTAGATAGCGATCTACCGGAAAACAATCGATTGTATTAAAGACTATGTGAAGCTTACGCTCTACCGGCAAACAATGAGTGTATTAAACTATGTGAAGGGCTGATACTCTACGTGAAACCAGATGATGTATTAAACTATTTGCTGAAGCCTGATGACTCTACGCGCGACAATTGATATGTTAGTTAAACTATTGTGAAGCTATACTCTACCGAGAAACAGATGGAATTGTCATTAAACTATGTGATGCTAGTACTTACCGCGGAAACGAATGATGGTATTAAACTTATGTGAAGCCTCTGTAGCTGCTAGACCGGAAACATAATGTAATTTAAACTATTGTGAAGCTTACGCGGTTACGGCGAAACAATGATGTATATTAAACTATGTGAAGCTACGCGTCTGAGCCGAAGAAACAAGTGATTGTATTTAAACTATGTGAAGCTGATACTCTGACGGAAAACAATGATTGTAAAAAATTAAAATATGTGGAAGCTACGCCTCTGACCGGGAAACAGGATGATGTATTAACTATGTGAAGCTACGGCTCTGAGCCGGAAAACAATGATGCTGATTAAACTATGTGAAGGCGTATACTCCTACCGGAAACATGATGTTATTTAAAACTATGGTGGAAGCTACGCTCTACCGCCGAAACAGATGATGTATTAAATATTGATGAGAGCGTCGCCTCTACCGAAGAACAATGAGTGTATTAACTAGTGAAGCTTATTAGGTCTACCCGGGAACAATGAGTGTATTGTTTAAATATGTTGCAAGCTACAGCGGTCACCGGAAACATATTGGATGCTATTAAACTATTGTGAAGCTACGCTCTACCGAGAAACAGATGATGTTATTAAAACTATGTGAAGCTATGACTCGTACCGGAAACAATGATGTATTAATGACTATGTTGAAGCTAGCGCTCTTACCGGAAAACAATGATGTATTAAACTATGTGAAGCTACGCGTCTACCGAAAACAATGATGGTTTTTTTTTCTATTAAGACTATGTGAAGCGTTTAGTCTTACCGGAAGACAATGGAGTGTATTAAACTATTGTGAAGCTACGGCTTCTACCGGAAACAATGATGTATGTAAACTATGTGAAAGCTAGCGGCTCGTACGGAAGACAATGATGTATAGAACTTATTGTGAAGCTAGTAGTACGGAAACAATGGATCTATGTAAACGTATGTGAAAAGCGTTGATGTACTCTTACCGGAAACAATGGATGTATTATAACTATGTGAAGCTCGCGTCTACCGGAAACAATGATGTATTAAAGTATGTGAAGCTATACTCTACCTGCGGAACAATGATGCTTTAACTATGTGAAGCTTATTACTCTACCGGAACATGATGTGTATTGAAACTATGTGAAAGCTATACTCGTACCGGAAGACAATTGATTGTATTAAAGCTATGTGAAGCTATGAGTCTGACCGGGAAAACAATGAGTGTAGTTAAACGTGACGGGTGTGCAAGCTACGCGGCTCTACCGGGAACAATGATGTACTTAAACTATTGTGAAGCGTATACTCTGACGGGGGAACAATGATGTATTAAAGCTATGTGAAGCTAGTCGCTCTAACGGGAACAATGAGATGTATATAAACTATGGTGAAGCTTACGGTCTAGCCGAAAACAATGATGTATTAAACTATGTGAAGCGTATTTACTCTACGGAAACAATGGATGTATTAAACTACTGTGAAGGCCTTATACGTCTACCGGGAAACAATAATGTAGTTAAACATGTGAAGCTACGCTCTAGCGGAAACCAATGGATGTATTAAAACTGTGTGGAAAAGCTTATAGTCTACCGGAGAACAATGACTGTATTAAACTATGTGAAGCTATACTCTACCGGGAAACAATATGTATTAATTTCTATGGTGAAGCTACGCTCTACCGGCAAACAATGATGTATTGTAAACTATGGGTGAAGCGTATAGTCTACGCGGGAAGACAATGATGGTAGTGTAAACTATGTGAAGCTATAGCCGTCTACCGCGAGAACAATGGATGTATTAAACTATGTGAAGCTACGCTCTACCGAAAACAAGACGCGACACTATGCTCTACACGAGGGAAATAATCACACGCGAGCATGACGATAATGAGTGGTGCAGGACTCTGACAGTATTACACTTTGCGGGATACAGATATTCGGGGGCACCTGGGTTCACCACGGCGGTTTATGGCTGTGGATATCATCCTATTGTTAATGAGCCCACGGCAGGTAAGGAGGACAAACGCGGTAAGTAAGTAAAGAGGACAACCACAACACTTGTCCTCATTGGTGCTGTGATGAAATTCGAGCCCCGCCTCACAATCCTGTGTGCGACCTTGACGGGGTAATCGTGACCTTGGCGGGGTAATCGTGACCTTGACGGGGTAATCGTGACCTTGGCGGGGTAATCGTGACCTTGACGGGGTAATCGTGACCTTGGCGGGGTAGTCGTGATCTTGACGGGGTAATCGTGACCTTGGCGGGGAAGAGTGACCTTGACGGGGAAGCGTGACCTTGACGGGGTGGGTAGTCGTGACCTTGACTCACCTCCATCATCTGCAGCTTCTCGGGGTAGGCGAGGTCTCCCGGAGCGGGTCGGTAGCCGAGTATGTCTGTGCGCATGTACATGTGCGTGCGGTAGACGAGTCGCTCCTGTACGTCCTCCAGCAGCTGCTGCGCCGTCGTCGCAAACGCACGCAGCTCCACCGCTGCAACACGAAACACGCGTCATTCCACCGATGCAACGCGAGACGCGTGCGTCACGCCACCGATGCTACGCGAGACAATACTATAATAACATAGGGTACGATATATAAGGGGTGTTATTATGATAAATCTAGGTTTATTCACAGCGTAGATAAGTCAGCGTATGCATCTACTTACGATTGTTTTGTACGTGTTCCTCCAGCATCTCAACCTAATCAAACATCGCACAGAAGAAACTCGGGTAAGAATTATAAAAAAAAACATACAGAGTTTTGCATCTTAAGTGAAGGCAATGGCATCTTAATAAACTCAGCAATGTAACGACATGTTGACGACTAACGACGGTAGAGCATTGAGGTGGTAAAGCTATCCACCATTCATCACGCGTGAAATCCGACAACTGACTACCCGTTATGTAAGTACGTACGGAACGATGCGCGTTCATGAACATAGCCGTAGATAAACAACTGCTGCCTGCATCAACGAGAGCTTGTCTTGAGCTCGCGTCTCATGCGTGTCTCACTCGAGCGTGACTTGATTCAGCCCGACGTCTGACGTAATGTCTCATGTGTGCTTCACACGTGACTCACAAGACGTCTCATGCAGACACGCGTCTCGCGTAACATTACGCACGCGTCTCACACACACGCGTCTCACCTTCAGTATGCTGCACAGCTCCGCGAGTGTTTCCAGGTGAATGACGTGGATTATGAACGGTCTCAGAACGTCGTACAGAGTCCAACACAGCTTCTCCAGGAACACGCTGCAACAATTAATTATTTAATTAATTAATCAACCCGTCTGTTAATTAATAGAGGTGGCGAACCGACTGACTGCCAATTGCAATTTGGCAACAAAACATTGCCAAAAAAATTTGTAATCAACAGAATCAGATGACGCCGTTATCACGACAACGCATCACCATGTCGGCGTGGCGACAGACCCGCGATGCTGTCATGACGACGCGATGCCGTGTTGTCGTGACGACGCCCCGCCGCTCGTCGCTACTTACTCCAGCTGCGACGTCGGCTTGGAGAAGAAGTGGAAGAACAGTTGGCTCTCATCCTCGCAGACGTGGACCAGGAAGGCACAGCCGCTCCTCACCTGTAAGTCAGGAGGCACGCAGTATCAGTCACGATGCAACACCATACAACACCATACAACACTAGTGTTGTCAATCGGTTGTAATTTCGTAATCGATCATCGGTTGGACCCAAGTAACCGATGATCGGTTACAATCGTGTGTAAGGCTGTGTGTCTGCATAGGTTATGGTGATGTTGCGTGTAAGGCTGTGTGTCTGCATAGGTTATGGTGATGTTGCGTGTAAGGCTGTGTGCGGGTCTGTGTTACATACACGTAGGTTGACACGCTTGTGTTATCCGGTGGCTATAATATTTAGTATCTTGTTATTCTATAATAGCTTGTTACACGGAAACGGTAATTTATATCGTGCGAAAGTAAAACCTATGTCGTGATTGTATACGTGCGTCGCGACGGTAGGTAAACGCGCGTCGCGACGGTAGGTAAACGTGAGGTTGAATCTTGCGTTGCTGCACGCACGCGTGAGGTAATACAGTGTTGATGTAGACGCCATGTCAGCGTCTCGTTCGAGTGTAACACATCATGATGTCACCTGCTGCCACCTATGGTGACGTCACATCCTGATGAAGATTTCCCGAAGGGAGATCGAAAATTATTTCGATAGTAAGTTAATTTCTTGGATTTAACACAAGATAAATATGAATTCATCATGTGTCTCGTTGCTTCTAGTTCACGCTGACGGGTCACAGTAACAAGGTGATGGCGGCGAAGTTTCTTCACGGATCATCACAGATGGTGTCCGGCAGTCACGACCGCACGCTCAAGCTGTGGGACCTGAAGAAGAGCTGCGCATGTAAGTCCTAATCAGCGCATCCGTCCTCTCTCTCTCTCTCTATCTCTCTCTCTCTCTCTCTCTTTATAGCTACACGAGCGTAGCAGCGTATAGCTACACGACGACAGCTAGAAAGCAATATAACTCTCTGATGGCGACTACTGATGGCATGAATGCAAAACTATTCTGATGCAGAATTAGCTTAACTTCCACCATCGTTAGAAATGGAATCTTCGACAACGTCAATAACGGTTACGCAATTACAAGCAACGTTTTACTTACCTCTACTAAAAACTCTAAGAGTGCATTATTGGTGTTTAGCGCAAACATCTGTGTTTTCTTGTGTAGCAAACCAAAGGCCAAATCTGTAAAAGAAATACATCACAGCATATCACTAAATATGAGTGCTACTCTAAATGCTTGCTATATACAGATATAACCACACAATAGTGGTCTAACCACGTAAGCCATTTCATGACCTCATGTAAAATGATAGCCACGTGTCAATTAAACAGAAATATCTGAGCTATCTAATCACTAACCCTAATCCTAACCCTAACCCTAATCACTATTGCAATTTTCGTAGAGCCTAACCTCTCTTTGAATTTAATGAATAAGAATCGACCTACTAAAAATATCGTTGCAACCGATTCTGTTGGAAACGCTTTTTTGGGGTATTCTTTAGTAAGTAACGAAACTAACGACTTGACAACGTGGGTGGGGCGCGTACCTAGGTGTCAACAACAACAAGGTCTAACCTTTAATCTTGCTGAAATCTAACTTCATCTCACGGACGGCAAAGTCGACGTGGAACGGAGCGATCTGTTCCCGCAGAATCAGCAGGTGTTTGATGAGAAACAACTGACCATCCGTTTTCGTCTGTAAGGCAACGATTGTAGCATATAGTACACCAAAGTTACAATAACAATATACCAACACAGCTACAATAACACTATAATAATGCAGTTACAATAATAATACACCAACACGATTACAATTACAGTACACTAACATCGCTACAATTACAGTACACTAACACAGCTACAATTACAGTTCACCAGCACAGTACTACGATGACAGATAAATTAATGCATCAAAAGGTAAAACCGACATTACAGTATAATCGCGCTCACAGTACCTTGCGCTGGTTAATAAGCTGTGAGGCAGTGATCAACGACTCTATGCACAAGTGCAACACTTCTTGAGATAGACTCTGAAATATCGAATTCTGAAAACAGGATAAAAAAAGATTAATGAAAAAACAATAAGCCAATAGAACAATGAATACTAACGATCAATCTGCCTGCGCGAGTTAACTTTGATACTGCGCGCTGTTTGATATCGTTACTACACTGGTGAAGCTAGACCAGTTTATACGCGTTCCAACACTCATTGCCAAAATGTCGACTTAGTGGCACTTTGGCGCTAAGCATCGTTTTCGGAACCTCCCGTCGCGCCACCGATTGGCCAGAGTCGCGCGACATTTGTGCTGACGTTAACGTACAAAATCTTTCGGAATAAAACTTTAACGTGCGATGCGATCGCGTCTAGTCCCCAGCGCGGCGGCGGCGGGGGCGGTGGTGACTTACGTCGAGGCATCGGTAGAGCTTGGAGAGACAGACGAGGGTTCGCCGCACGGTGGGATACCACATGCCGTGCAGGTCTGCCGGACTCATCGTCACAGCAGCAGCAGCAGCAGCGTCTATGTCAGAGCAAGAACACAGCGAGTGTTAACACAGACACACCCGATCACAGCAGCAGCAGCAGCAGCAGCAGCGTCTATGTCAGAGCAAGAACACAGCGAGTGTTAACACAGACACATCCGATCACAGCAGCAGCAGCAGCAGCAGCAGCGTCTATGTCAGAGCAAGAACGCAGCGAGTGATT